ATGTTGGAAAGATACTCAGTTTTTCTTGATACATATTTCTTCTTAATGTTTAGACATATTTAAAAGTATGTTTTGAAATGTTAATTTTTGTTTTTAAGAGAAAGGATTATTTTGGCATTTACAGTGTGCCTAGTATATGTACCAGTTAGTGAAGGATACAAAAATGAAATGGTCTTCTCCCAAAGGTCTTCTAGTTTAGCTGGGATACATGTAGCATGTCTTGTTACGATAATGCATTTCTTTTTTTCTTTGAGGGCTTTTTGCTATAGGGCTCATGCTCTTGCCAGACAGACGGAGAGAGACAGAGAGACAGAAAGCAAGAAATCACCCCCCAGGGGGGATGGCCACACTGCAATTCCTTCTCCTCTATTCTCCTCTTGGGATCTTGGGCACACATGTACACGTGCCTGGTGTGAGTTTTAAGCCATTAGGTCTGGGACTCGACCCGTGGCCGACTACATGGGAGTCCAGCGACATAGCCATTATGCTAACTGCTGGTTCCATGATATGCATTTCTTTAGTGTAAATTAATTCATTTGTGATTAGTAAACAGGAATATAAAGAATATTAGAGAATTTTGTCCACTTGTGTAACTACAGCCAAAATAAAGTACTTGTGGACACAGCCGAATGTGGCATACTCCGTCAGTGTTCAGCTCCTCTTAAATCACTTCTGCTTGACCATGTGCTCTATGTTAAGTGTATTGTTTTGTAATTATTCCTCATCTTTATGCCTTTTAACCCTTGTCTCTCTAACTTGTCAGCCTCAATCTTTTTAACTTTCATTCCCTTCCATTGAGTAGCCATCAGTGTTTTTATGGTAAAGATTCTTACTATTGAGTATTCATTGTATTTTACTGTATCTTTTTAGCCCTGCTTGTGTTTTTATTAGGCCTTGTTTCTGTTTGTGCTTTGATTACGGTGTTGCATAGGTTTTGAGTGCTCTTCTCTAACCCCTTTTCAGTCCTGTTACATTTAATCAACAGTTTTAAAGAAAATGAGGTTTTGTTAAGGAATCTATAAAGTATATTTGCGGCATAATAGCAGAAATGTCTGGATATAGCTGACTGTTATGGGAACAAAGGGATGCTGAAAACACAGAAAGGGAGCAGTTGTTCTGCTGAATTAGATTTAGAAAGGTATCACTAAAGAGATTTTATGTTACACTGATGTGAATAGAAAGAACATGAGCAGAAGCAAGATTGTAATTTCTAAGAATGCTTGCACAGAGGAGGTACTCTGGCAAGAGCCCAGGCCAGCAAGGTAGCAGGAAGGCCTTCACACAGAGAATGGAGAGCCCTCAGTGTGTGAGCACAGAGTAATGTGGTGTCATCCATTTATCCATTCATTTAGTAGACATGGCTGTTAGCTAGCCACTGGCTCGGGCGACTCGAAGGCAGCGGTCCCAGGACTTCGCTTCAGCAGGCCTGGGGATCTGAGTTCTGGATGACTGAAATCCATGTGTTTTACAGCCCAGCTGCCAGCTTTCTGGGCTGCCAGAGGCTCATGTTTTTAATCTCTAGTCTGCTTCTGACTTTCTGTGCCTCAAGTGAGGTATGCCTGCCCCCTCCCAGCCTTGGAGGGTGGCCCCAGCACTTGTGAAGGCTGCAGTGTCCACGAAGGGCTTCTCCCGAGTTTTCCTGCCTTGCCCTGAGCCTTCAGCATGCCCTGCATGTCCGCACCTGGGGCGAGGGGTAGGGACGTCTCTCAGCTCTTCCGTCCCTCCCTCAACCATATGCAGCCTCTGCTGGGCCTCGCTGAGGACCCAGAATTGCTCAGAGGATTTCTGTAACTGCCCTTGGTCTGCCCCAGTCTTCATTAGGCACAGGTACTCCTGTCACCGAGGGACTGAAGAGGGTGTCGTAAGACTCGCTTTCAGGCGTTCTCCCTCAGTGAGAGGGAGGACCTGCTGGCCGCTCCGTGATGCCTGATGTGCTGCAGAGGAGTGACTCCGTCTGCCCCAAGTCCTCGCCAGGCTCCGTGCACTGCGCCTTAGGGGTCTCTCTCAGCCCTCTTGCTCTGCCTGCCCCTTGTTTTTCACATAGGCGCTCAGTGAAGGTCCATGGGGAAGAACTGTGAGTAAATGCAGACTTTCCTTGTGCCTGGGCCCCTTGGGATTCTAAACTGTCATGCAGTCTTCAAATGACCTTTAAAAAGCTATAAAAATTTCAGCCAGATCTGTTTACTCTATCAAGGGCAGCTTTCTCCTGTCACTGCTCTGTTGAGGATGAAAACAATCACTGGTCTTTTTTTTTGTTTTGTCTTGTTTTTCAGGGAGGATTCATTTTCAGGATTTTAGTTCATTTAGATTTGTTTTCATTCTTAACTCTGGTTGCATGTATAATTTTATAGGTTATCAGACCTGTTCTCATTATTTGAGTTGAAAGATAACATCGTAGGTGGAAGTCTACACCAGTTTCTGTTGCCTTTTAAGAAGATTTAAGTTCAGGGGCCAGCAGATGGTAGAATATCTCCTACATGGTCGACTGTGGTTTGAGTCTTGGACCTGGTAGCTTAAAACTCACACTGGATGTGTGTGTGTGTACATGTCCAGAATCCCAAGAGGAGAATGGAGGAGAAGGGATTGCAGCATGGCCATCCCCCACCTCTGTGTGTTTGTGTCTGTGTGTGTGTGTGTGCGGGGGGGTGTGTGTGTCGTGATTTATCACTTTCTGTCTCTCTGACAAGCACATGTACCCTGTAGCAAAAATTTCTCTAAAAAAAACAAAAAAGAAGATAGAAGATTTAAGTTCATTTTAGAAAGCAGATCACCTTGATCAGTAGTTGCTTAGGTTTCAGGTTTTCTTAGGGCTGTTTTATTTCTGCTTTGCCTAAGGTTTAGTCTTTGTCCTCCTAGGACAGAAGCTGGATGACTGACTGGCGTGGTCCCTGTTTCTTTTTACCTTGGTGGGTCTTGAACTTTTGTATCTGCTTTGCCAGCATCGTAAGGCTTCCAGAATACCTGCCCTGCTCTTTAGCTGCTCTTCTATGTTTGTTCTCCTGCCGTCTTAACCAGGGTAGCGTTGCTCAGAAGTCAGCAGATGTCTTGAAGGGAAATTGCAGAGTTCAGGCTTAGTTTCCTCCAGGCTCCCCTCTTGAGGATCTTGGAGCTTCCAGCCTTGACTGTCTTGGTAGTCCCAAACTATAACACTCCCAGACCCAGTGAGTCTGTCCCAGCCGCAGGCCACCCCTTCAGCTCAGACTTTCTTCACCACACTGGAGTTGCACGTTCCCGAGATGAGAGCGTAGGTAACTGCTTACCTAGCGGACTCCTCTTCTTGGTCAGACTGTGGCCTTAGAAGTCTTGGCTACTTTGATGATTCTTTCATACCTTCAGTTTGTTTTTAATGCAGCTTTTATCATAATTAAAAGAAGTAGAGAATTTTTTTAACATTCTTACAGTTGTAACTGGAAAAATACTTAGAAATAAACTTAATCAAAGAAGAAGCTCTTTATAGAAAAACATTTTTTTAAATAGAAATAAAAATCAAAGGTGAAGCTCTTTATAGAAAAACATTTTTTTAAATTTATTTATTTATTTTTTGGGGGGAGAGGCATGCACTAAATCTATGCTTCTCAGGCTGGAACCACATGTGAGGCCTGTGTTTTAGTCCTAGCCTGACCTAAAGGCGGAGAGTGGGGGTGTGCACCTGTACTCCCAGTGACTTGGAGAAACTGAGGCAGGAATCAAAGGTGAAGCTCTTTATAGAAAAACATTTTTTTAAATTTATTTATTTATTTTTTGGGGGGAGAGGCATGCACTAAATCTATGCTTCTCAGGCTGGAACCACATGTGAGGCCTGTGTTTTAGTCCTAGCCTGACCTAAAGGCGGAGAGTGGGGGTGTGCACCTGTACTCCCAGTGACTTGGAGAAACTGAGGCAGGAAGACTATGAGCTTGAGCTGACCTGAGCAACATAGCAAGGCCCTGTCCAAAAAAGAGGCTGTGGTGGTGACATATGCTTGTAGTCCCAGCTGGGAATCTCAGGCAGGAGGACCATGACATGATGAGACTATTTCTTAAAAAGTTAATTCAACTTTTTAAAAAGATTGGTAAATTCGTCTCCATTATTAGGTTAATAAATTTGAGTTTATTGATAAGAACTGTTCATTACAAGATACCTCTAACAAAGTAAAAGAATAAGTAACATCTGCAGTACTATTTTTTTTTTTTTAAGGTTTTTGCCTTAGAGTATGTAGGCTTACAAGAGAGAGATAGTAAAAAGGAAAGTGAGAAATCCCCTCCAGGGGGCATGGCTTGTGCCATGGTTTCGTCTCGTCTCATCTCGTCTCATCCCATTCCTCTCCTCCTCTCCCCTCCCTTTCTCCTCTTCCCTTCTCTTCCACACATACATGTAAGCATGATTTTCGTTTCTGGATCCAGGACTTGAACTGCCATCGGCTATGTGGGAGTCCAGAACCTTAACGACCATGTCACCTGCTGGCCCTCTGCTGTACACTTACAATAAACAAAGGATCAAATTATGTAAAGAACTCTTAGAAAAAGACATGAACAGACACTTCACAGAAGAGGAATGGTTATGACCTTAAAAAAAGATGACCAACCCCTTAATCAGAGAACTGAAAATATAGTAAGATAGCCATTATAGTTATAACAGAAAATGGGAAAATATTGTAAAAAGTCTGGTAATACCAGATCTTAGTGAGGTTATAGAGCAAGAACTCTATTCGACTGATGACTGACACGTTTATCAATACTACTTCTTTGGAAAACAATTTGCATGATTTTGTAGGTTATACCATCTATGGACATTGACACTGGTGGGTTGGAACATCTAGACAAAGGTGTTTATAACAACATTGTAATAAGAACACTGTGGAAACAATCCAAAAATCAGTTGGCAGGAAAATGGATAACCAGTACAAACCAGTGAATTTTAGATACATAGAACATGAATCTTGAAATATGATACTGAATTATTTCTTAAATATAAGCTATATGGCTGTCTAGGTATGGCTTTGTAATTCTAAAAAGTGGCACACAACATTGCCTACCGATTATGTTATACAAATGTATTATTATTATTATTTGTGTGTGTGTGTGTGTGTGCGTGGCGGGGAAGCCACTTGCCACAGGGCAAGTGCACTTTCCAGAAAGACATTGAGAGGGAAAAGTGAGAAATCACTTTCATCTCTAGGGGGATGGCCACGCTACAGCTGTTTCTCCTTCATTCTCTTCTTGGGATTTCAGACACGCATGCACATGCACCCAGCATAATTTTCAAGCCACCAAGTCCAGGATTCGAGCTGTGGTCAGACATGTGGGAGTCCAGCATCTTAACCACCATGCCATCTGCGGGTCCCATAAATGTTTTTTTTTTTTTTTTAAAGTATTCCTTGCCTTATGAAAATTCAAGAGAATAACAACTTAAACCACCAATATTGAAGTGGTGACATCAGACAAGAAGACATTAAGAAGCTTCTGTGAATTTAGTAATGTAACTTAGAAGTTGCATGGCTTCATCATTGTACTTCTGAATTTTCATGTATTCATTTGTAGTCATGAATTGCATTTTATTAAGCCAAATTGTAACCACCCAAAAAGCTTCTTGCTTTTGGAAGTGGTTTTTTTTTTTTTTTTTTTTCTTTCAATAGTTAAGATATTGATAAGCAGATGATCTTTGTAACCTAGTAAATTTTTTGTATTTCACTGTAATATAAGTCTGTCCTTCCTCAATGAGAATTGCTATGTAAAGAAGTACAGTTCAGTAGAAATTCTGGAGGTAGTTTGCCTGGGTTTATGTCCTAGCATCACTGCTTACTGGTCAAGGTTGAGTGACTTTGGACAAGTTCAGGTTTGGCCCAGTTACTTTGTTGGTAAAATGAAGGTAATAATTGTGCCTAATCATGAAGATTAAGTGAGTTCTTATATCTAACGTATAATAGCAGTGCCTAGCACTTAGTAAATAAATGTTAGGTGCATTGGTATTTTATTACTGTAGTACGTATTAACATCTAATAATTTGAAACAATGAAGAAGTTGAGCCAGTTTCTTGAATGATCTAGGACTGGTTCAACCCTTACAATTCTAATGAGTTTTTTACATTCTTTTCTAGAGATGCATGCCATAGGGACATTGTGAATTTGCAAGTGGAGATGATTAAACAGTTTCATATGCAACTGGTATGTACAGTAATATAGAGTTGTGTGGCTCTAAAAAGAAAATCTTTCAAGGACATTATTTTTTACTTAGTTGTATCTAGTTGCTAAGATTAAATAGGAAGTTTTAGAAATTAATAAGCAAGATAGATTATAACTTTTTAACTTGAGATAGTTAAGGCTACATTTTCATGGCTTTTTTTTTTCAGTCAGTAAACTAAACACCTAAATGGATGAATATAAATCTCCGAAACATAATGATTTTACCAGTGATCTTTCATTTATATTAACAAATAGCAAAGGAGGGTAAGTAAATAGCGAGTTCACTGAACATGAGAGAAATGATACCTGAAAGTATGTAAAACACAGCTTGTCAAATAAATGTAAAATACCAATAATTTACAAAACATTTTCTCCTTTTCTCTAGAATGAAATGCACTCTTTGCTGGAAAGATACTCTGTGAATGAAGGCTTAGTGGCTGAAATTGAAAGACTACGAGAAGAAAATAAAAGGCTAAGGGCCCACTTTTGAAATTTCAGTGAATACCTTAATATTTTGTAATTTGGGAAGTTTCTGGCAACAAAGCACTACATACAATCATATTGTTTTTATGGCCTCTGGGGAGAAAACTTTTTTCTAAGTGAAAGGGTGTTGGGATTTTACACCAAACATTATTTCATCTTCTCTGTCAAAAATATTTATATTTTTGTATTAAAAATCCTTAGAGTACGTCAGTTACTTAATAGCAAAGTCAACAGGATCTTTATTTTCTGAAAGCTTTGGTAATACACTAAGTGCCCTTTTCTATTAGAGAAAAAATTTGTGCATAAAAATGAGTTGTGTATGTTTTTTAATAACTTTTAAACATGCTTTTGATTTAACAAATTGCCTTCCAGATTTTTTTGGGTAGTTGAGGTTTAAAGAGTTTCATATGCATTCTATTTTTATGGAGAAACTAATTTTAAGATGGCAATTGGTGTTTCTAAGCCATTGACATAAAGCACAGGGTTGGCTAATAATTATTTTGGTAAGATGAAGTCAGGTATGACTATTATTTATTACTTGTACATTTGATAAGACAATTTTTGAAATTTTGAATTGCACAGATTACTTTATACCTTTTTCATTTATGTTGTATTATACTTCAGACAAATGTCTACTTCTAGGTCATACTTTTTAGCTAACTTTACCTGTGAAAAACTTTTAAGGGTTTATAAGTCTCATCAAGAACTGTATATCCCTGATTATCTCATGAATTAATGACACGCAAAATTACACTGTAAAGTTTCAATCAACGTGACTCAATTTATAATCACTGAAAACTTCATATTAGATACTAAGTATTACAGTATTATTGCCATTTAATTTTCTCCTAAGTGAGAAGTGTGGATCAGTTTATTTTATGGTTTGTATCATTAACGTTCACTCTTTTTGTGCTGTGCATAGTATTTTTATATTATTGGCCTTACTGTAAAACTATTTAGAAAGGTTGACTGTCAGAAGAATTATACCTCTTTGGCAATAGGTAGATACATGCATCTACCTGCTGTGACTTACAGTTTAGTAGTATAAGATTAGGAGGGCTACTGGTTTGTTTACCTTCTTATTATCTCTTGGCCCAAAGATTTAGGTTTCATACCTTGTGTATAGATCTCCTGCCCAGTTTTGGCTTTTGAGATGAAAATATGTACTAAATTAAAATAAAATAATCTAGCTTAGTTTACTAACTTTATGGTTTTTCCAAAGTGATGAGAATTTTAAAGGATGTATTTAATAAATGTGAACATACTAATAATTCCAAAAATAAAAGCAGGAATATCACTTTTTCCTAGTGTGGCTTAGAGAATGCATTTGTATTGAAACACTTAGGGGTATTAATGTGATCTTTTCCTGACAGTTTATGAGAACATTATGACTTGTAACAAGTTTCCTTATATATCGCTATCAAATAGGTTTAGAAGACAATATGAGTGTTCTTTGCCTCTATGCCATTTTTAAATGTATTAATATTTTCCTATTGCCTTTTTCCATAAATGCAAATAATGTGTATTAAAGGAGCTGGGATGAATAAAACAATTTTAGTAATTTTATGTGTTTTATACGCCCAAAAAAAAAGGAAACCTGAATGAATTGCATTTTTTGACTCTGGATAAAGTGGAGTAGTGGGGCTTAGACCTGCCTTCACACCTGAAATTTTTAAAAAGGCAAAATATATGAAATAGTTGTCAAATATTGGGTATTAGGAAACACGAGATGATCATAATCCCTAAGGAAAGCAAATGAGATTAAAAAACTTGGTGAGCCCCAAACATAAGAAATAAGAAAATTATTGGGTTGTTAGAAAAGTCGTGAGATATTTTTCTGGTTTTCTATGCAAACATGCATCATGACTTATCTGATAACCCAATATATGAAGGTACATTATGATCATATTCCTTAAAATCAGCAGCGGGATTAATTCTTTAAAGAAACTAGAAAAAAAATATGAATAGAGATATAAGAAGGTTAGACAATGGAGTGACATCTTTAAAATATTGAAAAGAAATCTAAAGTTAGAATTTTATACCCAGTGAGAATATTTTTCAAAAACAGAAGTAAAATGAAAATGTTTTTCAGCCTTTGAAAAGCTGAGTTCATCACAAGTGGATTGTACCACAGGAAATGTTAATAAATACCTTATATCAGAAGGTGGAACCAATAGTTAGCATAATGGCTATGTCGCTGAATTCCCGTGTAGTCTACCGCTGTTCAAGTTTGGGACCCAGTGTGCCCAAGATCCCGAGAGGAGAAGGGAGGAGAAGGGATGGTGGCGTGGCCCTCCTCCCCAGCGGGTGATTTCTCTTTCTGTCTCTCTGGTGAGGCACGTGCCCTGTAGCAAAAACCTCTCCGAAAAAAAAGAGTAGGAAAATAATCCTACATAGATGTCTAAGACTATACAAAGGAATGAAGAATGCCCTGAATGGTAAATACATGCAAGCAAATGAATATAAACTTTTTGTTATGTTAATTTTTGGGGGGGTAAAAGACACAGTAGATTATTTAAAACAATAATGAAGTATTATGTGGTTAACATCTAAAGTGAAATGTATATTATGAAGGTGAGGAAGATGGAAATGAAAGTATTATACTCTAAAGTTGTTATACTAAATGAAGCAGCATGTTACTTCAAAGTGAATGGTAAGAATTATTTATTTATACAAAAAATAAAAATAATAACCAACAAAAGTGATAAAATGCAACCATTAAGAAAATATTTTTTAAAAGGCAGAAAAGGCAGGGAAACAAAGCTTAATTAGAAAGGGCAAATAGCAGGTATACACTAAGGTGATCAACATTTGGCCTGGTAGTTAAGATGTTGGACTCCCACATGGCTGACCACAGTTTGTGAGACAGACCCTGCTGCTTGAAAATCACACTGGACACGTGCATACATAGAAGAGAATGGAAGAGAAGGGATAGTGGCATGGTCTTCCCCTCTGGGGGCTGATTTCTTACCCCTTCTCTTTCTCTGTCTCTACCTTTCTGGTGAGCACATGTGCCCCATGGTTAAACATCTTAAAAGAGAAAAAAAAAAAAAACAGCACTAAGGTGGTAAACATATATAATCATATCAATAATTACATTAAATGTAAGCTGTCAAAGTTACCCTGTTAATTGCCAGATTAACCTTCCTTTTATTTATTTATTTTTTTAAATTTTGCTATAGGGCATGTTCTCTTGCCAGAGAGAAAAAGAAGAGGAAAAAATGAGGAAAGCATCCTTTAGAGGGGATGGCCACACTGCAATCCTTCCTTCCTTTCAGGATTTTAGGGACACGTGTACTTGGCATGTTTTTCAAGCTGCTGGGTCTGAGACTTGAAGCATGCAGTCAGCCATGTGGGATCCAGCTGCCTTAACTGTCATGTCACCAGATGACCAAAGTCTTGCTTCTTTTTCCAGTCTAAATAAATACTGAATATAAAAAAACCCTGCATTTCCCCCCCTTAATTGCTAGAGGTACACATATACTTGCACATAAAAATCAGTGAAACCAAGAAGTGGTTTTTGGAAAAGATCAACACAGATGACAAATACTTAACTAGACTTAAAAAAAAAAAAAAAGAAACAAGTTAAAAATGAAAGAGACATTATAACTGATGCCATAGAAATGAAATATGAGAGATAATTTCAAACAGTTATTCACCAACAGAATGAATAATCTATGGATAAATTCCTAGAAGCATAAAACTTAGACTGAATCATGAAGAAACTGAAAATTTGAACAGACCTATAGCTAGAGATTGAAGCAAGAGTCAAAAACTTGCCTACAAAGAAAAATTCAGGACCAGATGGCTTCACCGGATAATTCTTACAGTTGAAAGAAGAATTAATACGAATCCTTAAACACTTCCAAGAAGTGTAAAGAAGAGAAAACTCCAAAATTCATTCAATGAAGCCAGCATTATTCTGATACCAAAATCAGACAGACAGTAAAAGAAAACTACAGAACAATATCTTTGATAAATATTGATGCAAAATTTTAAAAATACTAACAAATTCAGTTGCACATTAGAATAATCACACATCACAGCTAAGTGGGATTTATACCTAGAAAACAAGAATGGTTTAACATATGAAAATCAGTATATTATACCACATTAACAAAATGAAGAACAAAGACCACATGTTCATCTCAACCATGAAAGGTAACCACTGCTATACAGCATAATACTAGAAGTTCTAGCCAGTGCAATCAGACAAGAAAAAGAAGTCATCTGAATTGAAAAAGAAGTAAAAACTATCTGTTTTAGATGTTTCTACCTTATAGGTAGAAAACTTTAAAGATCCCCCCCACAGAAATACACAAAAATAAAAGCAAAAACTAGCAAACAACAACAAAAAATTGTTATAACTGAGCATTTTAGCAAGGTTGTAGGATACAAACTCAACACATCAGTTGCATTTTTTTATTTTTCAAATTTGCTGGAAAGCACGTGTATTCGGAAAGAGAAAACAAGAAGGCCTCCCCTCAAGGAGAATGGTCACACTTCAGTCTCTTCTCTAGCTCTCCCTTTGGTGATTTTAGGTGCACACACACGTACCCAGTGTATTTCTCAAGCCACTGGGTCTGAGACTAAACCATCAGCCACGTGGGATCCAGCTGCCTTCACCATTGTACCATGTGCTGGCCCCAGTCAGTTGCATGTTATACATTGAAATGATTGATCTGAAAGGAAAATACTTTTTGAAACCCCATTTATACAAAACAGATACAATATTTAGAATTACCCACAGAAATGAAAGATTTACATACTGAAAACTGAAGCATTGCTAAAATAAAGAAGATAGAAATAAGTGAAAAGACATACTGTGCTCATGGACTATAAAGATTTAATATTGTTAAAATGTTCTACCCAAAATAATTTACAACTTCAGTGTAATCCCAATGGAATTATTTTTGCAGTGATAGCAATAAACATCCTAAAGAACGTACAGAATCTCAAGGGACTTCAAATAGCCAAAACAGTTTTTAGAAAGAACAAAGCTGGAGGCCTTTCATTTCCTGAATTCAAAACATACTACAAAGCAACCATATTATTATTATTTTTTCTTTTTTTGGAGAGGTTATTTTTTTTGCTATAGGGTGCATGTGCTTGCCAGACAGACAGACAGAAAGCAAGAAATCCCCCCCAGGGGGGATGGCCACACCGCAATCCCTTCTCCATTCTCCTCTTGGGATCTTGGGCACGCACACACACATGCCCGGCGTGAGTTTAGCCACTGGGTCCAGGACTCGAACCGTGGTCGACTACGTGGGAGTCCAGCAACATAGCCATTACACTAACTGCTGGTCCCAAAGCAACCATATTAAGAAGACATGGTACTGACATAAAGATAAATACATTGGGCTAGCCGGTGGCATGGTGGTTAAGTTGGCTGGATCTCACATGATTGCATGGTTCAAGTTCCAGAACCAGTGGCTTGAAAATACCCAGGCGTGTGTGCATTCCTGGCCAAAATCTTGAGAGAAGAATGGAGAAGGGATTGTGGCATGGCCATTCCTCGAGGGTTTTTTTTTTTTCTTCTCGTGCGTGTGAATGCGAGCACATGTAACCTGTAGCAAATAAAAAAAAAAAAAGTTTTAAAAATAAACAGGACAGAGTCCAGACATAAGCCCTTGCTTATAATGGTTTGATGATTTTCAGCTGGGGCTCCAAGGCTACATAATAGGAAAAGGACAGTGTCTTCAAGATGTGTTAGGAAAACCAGATATTTACATGGAAAATAGTTAAGGTGACCCTTACACCATGTACAAAAATTAAATAAAAACCTAAAGGTATAGCTATGGATCATTAATTCTTCATGGTTCTCTCTTCTCTAGAACCATACCTTCTCTAATCCTTGTTGGTTGAGGATAAATCCAATGCCTTTAAACAAATGATGCTTTGACTTTTCTAGTTCTCAGTTAGCTTTGGTCTGCTACATGCTACTTCATCCTTTATAAATGCAGAAAGTCTCATGCTATCAATTCTGTTTTCCTTTTTAAAAGATTGAGCATTTTAAAATTACATACATTTATAATTTTTTATTATTTATATACATTTTTAAAAATAAACTTTTCTATGAGTTATGACTTTGGAGAGTACAGGCTATATTCCTACCTTTTAAGGTCCAATATACATGTTATATTCTTCTTCCTGGGCAAATCAAGGTCTTTGTAAACTTCAATTATATCTGACTTAGATACTATTGTTGTTCTGTATTTTAATTCTCTGTATATATTATATTTTGCTAGCTATTATCTTTGTTGTGTACAGTTGATATTTATTTAGATTTGAACACATACTTTTTGTGTGGGTTGTCATTTCTTCATGTATGCCTGAGCATCCATCAGGATTTATTTTTCTGCCTTCAATATAAAATGATTGATGATAAATGCATTATTACTTTTTTTACCTGAAAATTCCTTTATTTTTCATTTTTTAAAAAATGATTTCTCTGGATATAAAATTATAGATCACCTATTTTTATTTATTTATTTTTTGATTGCCAGAGAAAGAGAGGAGGGAAGAGAGATA